TCCTGTTGACTTTAGAAATGGCTGTTTAGGCTTTGAGTTTTGTCCTTCTATCCTGAATGTGGAGTCTGCATGCCTTCTGTGGGGATTAGGGTGCTCTAATGTGCCAGCTGTGTTCTCTCTGTTCTGTGCTCTCCCTTGCTGGGGAAGGTTTTAAAGCCCATTTGTGAAAACTATCTTTCAAAAAGCACGTGCTTTGAAGTCAGATACATTTCCAAGCTCCCTGCAAAATGACTATAGGGCACTATAGAGCCCTATAGTATAGAAAGAAAAGAAAGTTTCTAAAACACTATGTAAGTATGTAAGTTCTCTCTCTCTCTCTCTACACACACATACACACACACACACACACACACACATACACACACACAAATACATATGATGTATATGCTTTGGTGGCATAGTCCTAGGAAGTTTCACTAATCAAAAGGCCATAACTAATTCAAAGATCCTGTTTTGCTATCTGTTTACTGGCAACTAACAGGGACACCCTGATGGGGGTAAGCACGACTGAGATACACCACTCCGGGAGAGGATCAGAGAGTCAATCCAGCTCAATTTTATTGGGGACTGCAGTGCACCTACATACAAGCATGTAAACAGGAAGGCAGAATAGGTGGGTTTACAGATGTGGACATGCAGATTGGTTAGGAGAACCTCAGCCTTGTGGGGACCACTTCCAGTTCAACAAGTGTGGCAGCCAACTTGCCAGGTGGTGAGCTTTCTCAAGCCGGTACAGCCAAACACAGGGGAGCTTTCTCTACCCCATATTAAAGGCCGTTGGGAGGCTTGTACTTATCTAGAGCTTAGGTGATCTGTCCTGGCCAGAGGCCCTCCCTTCCTCCCCAACATTCCCCAACAAATGAAAAAATCTGATGTGATGGCAACAAGACAGTATATACCGTATTGAAGATTTTTGTTGTTGTTGGTGGTGGTGTTGTAACAAGTGATAAGAGGTTGCACTGCAATTCCAAAGGCATGTAGTTTGAATCCACAAGCTGCCCTGCAGGAGACAGATGGGCAATTTCTTCCCTTGCAATTTGATTTACTACCTCTGAAAACCTGCTGGAGGGTCAGCTGTGGGTTGGTTCTGACTCAGTGGCACATAACAGCCACCACTCTTGAACAAAATAAAAGTAGTTGAACTGATTTTCATGTACATATTCCTCTTTTTCATTCAAGTACCTTGTGAGGCCCATCACTGTTGAGGACCATCATTATGAGGATGAAGCCCTACTTCACTGGGCTTTTTGATCCCCTAATACTCAGTATACTCATTTACCAAGATACAACTTTCAAACACATGCTGTAATACTGGTCATCTCTCCCTCTACTAATCAGAATAGTAATTGGGAAAAATTTGCGCCAACAGAAACTCAATTTATGGTGGCAACATTAATTATTTCAAAGTTACTAAGCTTTAATGAATAAGGATCACAAAAGAAGAATTGATGTCTTAGAGTTGGGGTACTGGAGAAAAGTACTGAATATCCCATGGACTACAAAAAAATGAACAGGTGTATCTTGGGAAAGTTACAGCCAGAGTGCTTTTTTTTTTAAAAAAAATACTGATTTACAAAGTTTGAATACATTATTTTTCACAAAAGACCCTTTCTATTTCCTTCACCCCCCCATAAATTGTGTAACGCTATGATTAACACTCCACCCCCACCCTCTGCCCTTCCTCATCCCTCTGCTTCCTCAGTCCCACACGACAAATACCGTATAAAGCCATTATTGTAGAATGAACATGAGTGCTTTTGGGAGGCAAAAATGGCAGTTTCATCTTTCATACCTTGGACATATTTCTAGAAGAGTCTATTACTTGGAAAGCATGTTTCCTAGCAACATGCCCAAAGTGTGAGACAAAGCTTTGCCATCCTTGCCTCTGAGGAACATTCTGGCTGCACTTTTCCATGATATATGTGTTCTTTTGGCAGTCCATGGGATATTCAGTACTCTTTTCTAATACCACAACTCAAAGGCATCAATTATTCTTCTGTCACCCTTAGTACATTGTCCAACTCTCAGATGCATAGCAAACGACTGAAAGGACCATGGCCTGAACCAGGTGTACTTTAGTCTTCAAACTAACATCATTGTTCCTCAGTACTTTGTAGAGGTCTCTGACAGCATACTTTCCCAAATCAATATGTCTCCTGATCTCAATCTTTTCTCCATTTATTATGATGTTGTAGTGGTGGGGATCATAATAGCACAGCTATGATCATAGCATTGACTATGTGGAACATAAACTATGTTTAACCTTGAGAAGAATGAGAATCTCAGAATATTTATAGTCATGCAAAACCTCTAGTTGGACTAAGAAGCTGTTGTCTGGACAGAGCAAAGCAAAAGTGCACAGTTTAAAATCAGGAAACGTGTACGTCAGGATTGTATTCTTTCTTATTAGGTGCCATCAATTTGAGTATGATTCACAGTGACCGTATGGACAAAAGTACTTAACCTGTGCTATCCTAGCTGAGTGTCTTCTCTTTCTCAAAGCCTCCACCCTTTCCAATATCATGTCTTTCTTCAAGGAATAACCTTTCCTAGCAACATGCCCAATGTATGTGAGGAGAAGCCTCATCATTCTTGCCTTCAAAGAGCACTCTAGCTGCACCCTCTCCAAGACATATTTGTTCATTCTCTCAGCCGTCCATGGAATGTTCAGTGCTCTTCTCCAACACCACAGCTCAAAGGCATCAATTCTTTTTCTGTCATTCTTATTCATTGTCCAGCTCTCAGATGTATAGCAAGTAATCAAAAAGACTATGGCCTTAATCAGACTCACCTTACTCCTCAAACTGACATTATTACTCCTCAATAATTTGGAGAGGTCCCTAATTGCAGATTTTTTCAGTGCAATGTGTTTCCTTATTTCTTGATTGCTGGTACCAAGGGTGTTAATTGTGAATCTAAGTAAGATGAAGCTGTTGACAGTTTCAGTCTCCTCTCCATCCATCATGATGCTGCCTTCTCCAGTGGTAAGAATTCCTTTCTTCTGTGCAAATCATTTGAGAAGCTGGAAATAATAGTAGTAGTAATAATAAGTTGGTGTTGTTGCTAAGTGCCGTCAAGTCACAGGCAACTCATAGTGGCCCTATGAAGGAGAGTCCTCGATGCTTGGGTGCCTTTCATTCTCTCTCCAGGTTCATAGGGTTTCTGGAGGCAAGCTATTATGGAAGTGGATGCCACTCCTCCATCCAAATAATAAGTAGTAATAATAATAATAAAAGTTGAAGGAGCCTCATAGGAAAATGAGTGGCTAAATGAATTCTAACATATGGTTTGGTCAACTAAGTGAGACAGAATCTGACATTTTAATGCCAACCCACAGTAGTTGTTGAATATGTAACTGTTGAATGAATTTGATGACAGAAAAAAATATTTGCTAAAAGCCTCTTGACATTGATGACTTCCTCTCTGAAAAGACCTTATACATTCTTCTCCTTCTTTTTGAGAAGGGCCTTAAAAACTTTGGGATGCTAGAAAAAGCTGTCATATTTTCACAATTATAACAAGCTTTTTCAATGCTTTACTTCATTAGAGCAGGAAAGGCAAACCTAGATTTTAAAAATGTTGAAGTTCCTGAATTGCTAGATGGGAAACCACCAGCAGAATTCTCTTTACTGCAGGAATGCTGACAGACTTACTGGTTTCTGATGGTAAAATGTGTAACTTCTCTCCCTCCCCAAGTCCCTGGGTTGGCCAGAGGTATGCCCTAGGTAAGAAGAAATAAGCATTTTCAATATTTTCACCCTCTAGGGAGAAGCTAATGAGGAAGTCAAGCTGTTAAGAACAACTATTGTGAGAGGAAATTCAATTAACAACTGTAGCCATGACTATTTGGGGGGAAAAATGCAGAGAGAATGGAGTAGGAAAAATATGGAGGGGGATGGGGAAAGGACCAGTAAAGGAACAACCACAAGAAAAGAGACAGTTCAAGTAGGGGAAACCCTGTAGAATTTGCCCCAACTTTCCCCACTCCCTCCATTCTCAATGATCCCCACCAACGAGCTAGAAAGTCTGGAATGGGGATGGGCCGGCTTCATTCAACACATCCACTTTACCCTTCCTGATTACTGGTGCTGTCTTTTTTCCTTCTTAAAACAGATTGACAGAGCAGAAGGGAAGTCACAACCCTGCAGGACACCCTAAGGTCCCATAGAACTTGGGTAGTGCGTAACCAATTTTTTCTCCCCCCTGGGCCAAAACCTCACCTCTCTCTTGCACTCTCCTCCCGGAAAAGAAAAAGGAAAGGTCCTAAACTGGACTTAACAGCCTTCCCATCTTCCCGGGCTGCTAGAGCAGAAGGGATCACACTGTGATTCACTGGAGAAAAGGAGGGAGGAGGCAGTGGAGAACTCCAAGTGCCAAAAGGAAGAAAATTAGCTGACAAGACGCACGCAGCTGGCTGGCGCTGAGTCACTGAGTCTGCGGAGATCAAGTGGGTCCAGCGTGGAGGGGCCGCGGGGACAGGGACCTCGCTCAGTCCCCGAGTGTGTCAGCAATCCCAGAGAAGAACTGGTGTCCCAAAGTTCCAGAGAAAGGGGTGGTGGGCGTCGCGGGAGACCGGGAAACTGGACTATTTTTTTTTTTTACCCGTCATTTCGCCGTCTCGGGAGTGTCGGGAGATTCACAACTGCCTGGGGAGGACCGGGAAAAATAAACCATTCCTGGAAAGTGGAGAAAGCCAGCCGGCTGCCTGTCCGTTTTGGGCTGGCGAGCACCTCCACGTCCCAGTGTTTCCCAAGTGAGGAGACCCCAGGACGCACCAACCACCCTCCCGCCGACAGGGCGTGCGCGCCCCGGAGAGCCTCCCTCCCCAAACCAGAGGGCTCCGGGCGGGCCTCATGAAACTTCCTGTCCGGCGGGAATCTCAGTTCCTTGCTTGACTTTTGCCTTTCTAGAACTTTAAGGTGGAGACGTTCACTCTTTTTGGAAGAAGCTGACCTGAGGCGTGAGGGAGAGGAGAAAGAGAGAGGAACGTGAAATTTGGTTTCCGGATGCCCCATCTTTTCCACCATCACTTCTGGGAGAGAAAGATTCAGGTTGGTGGGCGTGGTGACAGCCGCGAAGCGAACAAGACCTCTTTTCAGCGGAAGGTCCTCCAGGGCTCCTTTGGTCTACTCCTCTGTGTGCATGTGTGCGAGCCCTTCGGCGGTGGGAGGGTGGCTCCGTGTGTGGAGCCTCAGCCGGGACCCAAGTGAATGGCTCCCAGGGGCTGCGCGGGGCTGCAGCCTCCGCAGCCTCCGCAGGCCTGGGTCTGGCCAGGAAAGATGCTAGCCATGGGGACGCTGGCAGGCTTATGGGTCATCAGCCTCCTCACCTATGGTTACCTGTCCTGGGGACGTGGCTTAGATGAAGAGGAGGAAGGGACCTTTGGAGCTCAAACCGGAGAAAGATTAGAGCCCAGCACCTCTTCCACCTCGCAGCCCCATCTCATTTTCATCCTAGCGGATGATCAGGGATTTAGAGATGTGGGTTACCATGGATCAGAGATAAAGACGCCCACTCTGGACAAGCTTGCTGCAGAAGGGGTTAAACTGGAGAACTACTATGTCCAGCCGATTTGCACGCCATCCAGGAGTCAGTTTATTACTGGAAAGTAAGTATTACTGATTCTTTCATTTATTCCTTGGAAAAATCGTAAGCATTTAATTAAGATCCAGTACCTATTTTATGAGCGGTAACTCATGGTTGCTGTGATGCTAAACACTGTGACACTGAAGTATCAAATGCGATAATGGTTACCCATGGTGGACTGCGTTGGGTGGAGCTACCTGATTAAAACAAGCTTGGAAGCAGGAGTGGCATCCACTTCCGAAATAGCTGGCTTCCTGAAACTCTATGAACTTGGAGAAACGATGAAAGTTAATCAAGTGTTCAGGTCTTTTTCGGAGGGTCGTCTACGACTCAACAGAATTTAGCAATCTAATTTATGGGATAACGGACAAAAAGAGGGAGAAATGAATGAATAAATAAATGAATGAAAGTACAAATGTGCTAAGGTATTGGATCATTGTGAGTGTTCTTTCTTTTCTTTTCTTTTTTTTAAATCTAATTGCTTTATTCCTTACCCACAAAGCTACTCTGAAGTGACTTTTAAGTTCGGCATGAGTTAGGCCTGATAAATGCTCAACTCCCAATCCTCTGTCTCTAGAGATGACTTCTAAATTTCTTCTAGTTCTTTAACATGTTCCAATTTTGCTTCAGGTGATACGAGGTTTTCCAGAAACCCTCACCGAATAAAAAAAAGACTGAAATATTTCTAGGACTCATGGTTTGTTCTTAAATTTAGAATTTAATTATTAAAACCATAGGTCATCACGGGAAGAGGCCAAAGAAACAGATGGGAAGATGCGGTGTAATAGAACCAATGAAAAATCTAGCTCTATTTGAATCTTTAACAAGTTGTGTTGTTTTTGTTTTTCTTTCTCATCAGTGTTGTTGTTAGGTGCCATCTAGTTGACTATGACTCATAGCAGCCGTATAAACAATGGATCTGAACCCTGCCCTTTCTTGTGCTACTTTCAGCATCTCTGATATACTTGAGCCCCTTATTAGAGTGTCTCAATCTCTCTCATCGAGGGTCTACCTCTCTTTCACTGACTTTGCTCTTTTCCAAGCATAATGCCTTTTCCCAAGGACTGGCTACTTCTAACAACATGCCAAAGGGACATGAGAGGAAATGTCACCATCTTGGACACTAAGGAAAACCTTGGTTGCACTTGCTTCAAGATACATTTGTTTGTTCTTTTACAGTCTATGTGATACTCAGTACTGTTTTCTAACACCATAGCTCAAAAGAATCAGTTTTGCTTCTGTCATCTTTTTTCACTGCCCAGTTATCAGATGAATAGCAAGTAATTAGAAAGACCCTGTCTTGGATTGAGTGCACCTCAGTCTTTAAACTGACATCATTGCTCATTAGCACTTTGGCTAAGATCAAGTGTTTTGTAGATAAGAGTCATGCATATATTGTCCAAATAAAGGCCATGTTTAATTATCAAGGCTATTCCTAAAATACAATACACTTTAATAGTAATTGCACAACAAAAGTTGAGCTTTACCTGCATGGGCTTAAGTGTAATAGAACTGCTCGTCACAACTCTGGAACATTTCTGTTGGTCCTATAGGGCCAAAATGACATCTGGTGGTTTAGTAAAAGAATCTGCACTGTAATCTTAAAGCATGCAGTTCAAATCCACCAGGTTCTCCATGGGAGAAGGATGCACAATCTCTTTCCATGAGATTACTTACTGCTTTTGAAAACCTGCTGGAGGATCAGCTATGCGTTGATTCCAACTCAATGGAATAAAACAACAACAACAACAACAACAGGGTCAAAAAGTGCAACCAGATTATTCCTTAGAAGCAAAGATGGTGAGGCTTCATCTCACATATTTTGGACATGTTCTTAGGAAAGGCTGTTCCTTCGAAAGGGACATCATGCTTGGTAAGGTAGAGAGTCAGTGAAGGAGAGGAAGGCCTTCAATGAAATAGATTGATACAGTGCAGAAATGGACTCAAATGCGTCGAGGATGATAATGGCACAGGATAGGACAGAGTTCAAATCTTTTGTTCATAAGGTCGCTATGAATTGTATTCAACTCCACTTATTAACAGCAACAATAAAGTCACTTAAGTAGTGGTCGACTTGATGTTACTTAACGACAAGAAGTATGTAGGTCACTGTAATTGATTTGGATGTCCAGATTTAGCCTTCGGAAACTGAGAGAGTCAGAGGTCAAGTTACTACTAGATTAAGGTAGAATGGAAACCTTTGTTGGTTTTAATCCATGTAACTGGTGATTTCAGTTGCAAGGAAACCTTGCCTCAGTGAAGTTGTTCTTGGAAATGGATCTTGTAGAAGTAGCCAGTATCCATTGGAAAAATAAAGACTGTTTTGTAGGAATCTCTGTCTTGAAGAGACTTTTGCTTACAACATCATTTCCACTGCTTAGCAAACTGTCAGAATTTAGCATGACTGCCTGGAAGGGGCGGGGGAAGTGGGGAGGGATCCCATCCTCCTCCCTAAGAGAAAGGAAAAATGTTTCACTATACTTTAGAGTCGTTTTTTAAAGGTTAATTGTAGCAAAAGAAAGTCAAGAGCATTGGCTATTCATAAAGGAACAGATTGTTGGCTGCGAAAGAATTCCATCTGGTAGCTTGGAGGTCAAGTTCTTCATGTCTAATCAAAACTGCTCTTACATGTAACACATGAAATAAATGTGACATACAGGCTTACTTAGCCTCTTCAACTAATTTACAGAATTTCTCTTTATCATCAAGATTATTGGAAAATATCAGATTAAGTTTTTTACAATCATGCATGTCTCCAAAATTTTCCACCAAGATTGCCTTTCATTGTGAAACTATCAAGGTTTTATTTTGTAATTTATATGATTACTTAATGAAATGAAGCAGAAGCTAAAATGAGAATAATTCCTGATTTGTATTATTGGTCAAATATTGACTCCTAAGTATTTTCAGTGCCGTTAAACATTAATGAGAATACATCCTTTCCAATTAAAATTGGCTCTTCAGTGGAACATGTTGTGTAACTATTTTATGGCCCAAACTTTCAAACAGCTACTGCAGTTTGAGTTAGTTTCCTTTAAAAAAAAATTACACAGCTGAAGGTGCTTTCACTTGAAGTCTTCCTTGTAGACAAATTGTTGGAAAGAATTTACTTTCAATTCACACAGACTAACGGAGAAAGAAAAAGGCTTAGGAAGCCTAGTTCTGGGCTAAATTTCAATAATGTAGAGCCAGGAGAAAATGGCCATTTGTCCTCTTCCTGAGGACATGCACAGTAAAGTGTCTGTGCTTTCTGGATCCTATAAACTGAAAAAAGGAAGCAGTGAAAACATAAATGGACTGCATTATTTTAAGGGGAAAATTAGTTATTGGAAATGTGAGACTAACCAAATACCTCCAGATTACAAAGAAGGAGTTTAAAGAATTGAAGTTGAAGTTACTTTTGGTGGTATTAGTAAAATAACCCTCCTGCACTTTCTTTACACGCTACTGGAGTCCACATGTACAATCTCGTTTTTTTAACTACACAAAAACTAAAAAACCCTCAAAATTATTACTGTAGAGTCAGATAAGACTCATAGCTGATCCTCCAGCAAGTTTCCGAACCTATAAATCACACAGGAAGACATTGCCCATTTTTCTTCCATACGGCAGCTGGTGGATTTGAACTGCCAGAACATCACCATCTTTGGATTAGTGATGCAGTTCCCTATGGATTATGACATGAACGTCTGTAGTGCATCCAGGTTTTTTAAATAAATTGCCTCTTGTAAATAAGTGTTCTTTGTATGTACAGCAGTGAAGAACACACAAGAAATAAAAACCCTGATGTTGAGAACTCAAACTCAACTGCCAGTCCTTACAGATTCATAGATATTCTCTGTTAGTTTCAGATGCTGTAAATACTAACATGAGAATACCACCTACCTTTCTACCCCAGAGCTACCGCTGCATTCAGACTCCAGAAAGAGAACAACCATTGTGTTAGCTGTGCAACTTGCTGTGGATTATGCCACCAGAGTTCCCTTAGCGCAAGATGTTGTTGTTGTTGTTGTTATGTGCCATCGAGTCGTTTCTGACTCATAGCGACCCTATGCACAACAGCTCTAAACCCTGCTCTATCCTGCGCCAACCGCACCACCTCTGACACACCCATCCCGATCACCCCAGTCACCGAATCAATCCATCTCATAGAGGGTCTTCCCCTCCTGCGCTGTCCCTCCACCCTCCCAAGCATGATGTCCCTCTCCAAGGACCCGTCCCTCCTGGCAACATGTCCAAAGTATGTCAGACGAAGCCCCAGAATCCTTGCCTCCAAGGAGCAGCTTGGTTTAATCCTCTCCAAGATGGATCTGTTTGTTTTCCTGGCAGTCCATGGTACATTCAGTACCCTTCTCCAGCACCACACCTCAAAAGCATCCACTCTCCTTCTGTCCTCCCTAGTCATTGTCCAACTCTCTGATGCATAACAAGCGATTGCAAATACCATGACCTGTATCAGGCGCACCTTAGTCTCCAGAGAGACACTGTTGCTCCTGAGTACGTTTGAGAGGTCCCTAACGGCAGACTTTCCCATCGCGATACACTTTTTTGATTTCCTGACTGCTGGTACCTAAGTATTTTTGACCACAGAAGACTAAGTCAAGATTCTGAAATACAGTTTCCTTGAAATAAAACCAACCATTCCACTTTAATAAGTCTGGGTTGATTTCATGGATAATGCTGATTTAATTAACAGGTGAGTAAGCAACAATATCATTATAAAGACTAAAGTGTGCCTGATTCAAGCTTTGGTATTTTCAATTGCTGCCTATGCATCTGGAAATTGGACTGTGAATAAGAAAGACAGAAGAAGAATCGATACCTTTGAGTTGTGGTGTTGGAGAAAAGGACAAGTCTTATCTTGGAGGACACATATTCAGGGTTCTCCTTAGTGGCCAGAAAGGTGAAATTTTGTCTCACATACTTCAGATATATTGTCAGGAGGGTCTTCATGCTGGGAAGGGTGAAGGAAGAGAGAAAGAAAGGAAGACCCTCAACAAGATAAATTGATTCAGTGACTGT